TTCATACATGTTATTTTAAAACGTAATTGGATTTGTCTTATTGTGTATTTTCTTGGTTCTCATTACAAAAGTTATGGATGCTTGTTGCAAAAAAAAAAAAACCCAAAAATTTGATTGTTAGAGAAATATGCCATGTGGAAAGTAAAGGTGTTGTGGAGATCCACATGCAGAAATGCACACAAATGGTTTGTGTGTGTGCCCAGGGAGGGTCATCAGCGAGGCCCCAGCTGTCAAAGCATCAGAATACGAAAGTTGAAAGAGACAATTAAAATAGCACACAATCTTCTGAAATTTCATGGGCGCGTGCACACACACAGGAATAATGAACTACGAGGATGAAAAAATTTTTTCTGTTATTAATAATAAAAAAACAAATACTGATCAACCATGCTAGAGAAAAGATAAATTATCTTTGTATTCTCTCCACAGAAAACATTACAAATCATTGTCATATGAAGAGTCAGTTAAAGAGTACATAGCCATAGGACTTCCCTGGCGGCGCAGTGGTTAAGAATCTGCCTGCCAACGCAGGGGACATGGGTTCAAGCCCTGGTCTGGGAAGATCCCACATGCCGCGGAGCAACTAAGTCCGTGTGCCACTACTACTGAGCCCGCGCTCTAGAGCCCACGTGCCACAACTACTGAAGCCCGCACACCTAGAGCCTGTGCTCCTCAACAAGAGAAGCCACCGCAATGAGAAGCCTGCGCACCGCAACGAAGAGTAGCCCCCACTCACCGCAACTAAAGAAATCCCACGCGCAGCAACAAAGACCCAACGCAGCCAAAAATTAAAAATATAAATAAATAAATGTATAAAAAAGAAGAGTACATATCCATAAAATGTGGGGAAAAAGTTTTGAGAGGCATGTCTGATAGCTAATTAATAAAAATATTTTGTTATTAAAAAAAATAGCACACAATGCTTTAGTAAGTGTTGCCGAGTTGCCCTCTCCAAAGGTTCTACCAAGGGATGCCCTTTCCAACCAACGGTTTGGAGATTTCCCATTTCCCAACATCTCCAATTCTGGGCATCCCCAAATTTCTTCATTTGGTTAAACTGAGGGGGGACTTCCCTGGCGGTCCAGTGGTTAAGACTCCTTGCTTCCACTGTAGGTGGCACGGGTTCTATCCCTAGTCAGGGAACTAAGACCCTGCATGCCACGCAGCATGGTCTAATTAATTAATTAATTAATTAAACTGAGGGGGAAATTGACTAGGTTGCAAAAAGTACACACATGCTTCAATCAGGTCCATTTCCTCCACAATTAAACCTATGGTCACCCAGCATATGCCTCAAAAGGTTCAACTAAAGATCAAGATTTGCTGCTTTGGGCATGAGCTTCCCCTCCCTCCACTCTCCCCCCTGCTCGCTAAGCCGGAGCCATGGTGGCCTATAGATTTCTGCAATAGACCCTGCCCCATCCCACCTCAGGGCCTTTGCACTTGCTGCTCTTTCTGCCCTGCACCTCTTCACCTAGTTAGTTCCTATTCATCCTTTGGAGGGCCCCTCTTGAGCAGGTTCTTGAACCTGTCTTCCCTTTTGTAATAATATTACCCCCATTATAGGATTGCTATGAGGATCAAATGAGATACATAGTTCAAGACACTTGACACAGTGTTTCAGAAAGTGTTAAGGTTTCAGTTCATTGGGACTTCTCTGAAGGTCCAGTGGTTAGGACTCAGAGCTTTCCTGCCGTGACCCACAGTTCAATCCCTGGTCAGGGAACTAAGATCCTGCAAGCCACGTGGAGCGGTCAAAAAAAAATTCAGTTCAAGAGGCACCTCCTCCATGAAGCCCTCCCTGACCGCCCTACCCAGTTCAGGGTCCCATGTGTTGTCCTTTCTCATGGTCTCTCAATTTCTCTTTTTTGGTACATATCATAAATATAATTAAATAACCACTTGTGATATCATGTGCTTCATGTTTCTCTTTCCCATTAAGACCATGACTCCAGAAGGGCAGAAATGGTGCCAGACACCACGCCTGCCGGATAGGAGGCACCTGATGCATGTCTGTCAAATTAATGAATGGATGGATCAAGTGGGCTCCGTCTTTGACTCAATTATACTAAAGTGTCAGAGGCTACACTTCTTATCACTGTTATCAGCACATCCATTTTCTCCCTTTCCACACCTTCTTATAAAGACAAAGGATAAAATGCAGAAATGCTCACACCACTCACTACAACCAAGCTACATCTGGCCAGACGGACCAAGATGGCCACAAAGCTCAAACAGAACTGTTGGCGGGTAGGTAGCACCCCCATGTGTTCTCTGGGAATCTGTTTTTCCGATCATCTACAAATGCCAAAATTGAATACTCAGGTTGTATCTTTATTTGTCCTTCTGAATTGACTCTCACCCTTCTCCCCCTGCCCTGTGCCCTGACAGGCTAACTGCATGACTGGCTCCCTTACCTTCCTTGCCTGCTGGTGCAGCCAGTGAGAGGCTCCAGCAGGAGATGGGAGGGGAGGAGGGGAGAGAGGGCAGGGTCTTTATTCCCCTCTCCCTAAACATGGTCTGGATCTAGTGACTCAATTTTAACGCACAGGCTGTGGCAGCAGGAGTGATGCTACGTGACTTTCAAGGTGAGGTCTTGGAAATATACAATTTCCACCTGGCTTTCCTTCTCTTGGGTTGCTTGCTCTGTGGAGGCCAGCTGCCAGGTTGGGCGTATCAAGCACAAACAGCCCAAGTAGGGAGGAATTGAGGCAGCCCTCCAACAATCAGCACCCACCTGCCAGTCATGTGAGTGAGCCACCACAGAAGCAAGATCCTCCAGCCCCAGTCAAACTTTCAGATGGCTGCAGCCCCAGTCAACACCTTGACTACGACCTTATGGAAACCCTGAGCCAGAAAGCTCAGTAAAGCCATTGCTGGATTCCCGACCCACAAAAACCGTATGAACTGATAAGTGTTTATTGTTTTAAGCCAGAACATTTGGGGATAATTTGTTATGCAGCAACAGAGAACTACGACACCTGGTAACAAGAGTCCCAGGCTCCCACCTCTACCTGGAACTCTCTTCTCCCACATCCTTCAGGTCTCCACTCAGATGTTACTTCCTGCAGGCTTCCCTAAACTCCCTTTACCCATCTCCCTGCCCCAGTTCATTTTTCATCCTGGCATGTATTCTCTCCTATCCTATTACATATTTGTTTCTTGTCTGTCTCCCCCACTAGAATGCTAGCTTTATGTGGGCAGGGATCTTTGTTTTCTTTGATGCTGCGTCCACAGTGGAACAGTGCCTGGCACAGAGTAAGCTCTCACTGTGGTGGCCATTAGGATGAGAATCTAGCAGACCTGAGTTGTGTGGGGGCTGGATCAGACTCCCACCTGTTTCCTGCCTGCTCTGTGCCCACCCTGACCAAGGGGTGGGACGTAGCTGTGACCTCCCCCTCCACTGGGTAAGTAGTAATTGGCAACTATACTGGGAGAGCCCCTCCACGTCTCCCCACTTCCCTCAGGATAAAATCCCAGGTCCTCTGCGCTGCCTATACCACCCCCCGTTCCCTGCCTGAAATCCCACCACTCAGCACAAAGAACCATGAACTGTTTACATGCACCCCAGGGAGGGGTGCATACACCCCACAAACAAAACTTTGGGGTTCAGGTAGAAAACATTAGAACATTTTTTTAATCTTTTTTTTTAAGTTTGCTAAGGAATATCATTATGTAATAAATACATTATTATAAAGTGATCTACAGAATCTCTTAGTATAACTGTATTTGTATATAATTTATAAACAAATATCCCTCTGGGGGTTGAGCTTCAACATTTTTACTGATAGAGGTGCATGTTGAAAAACAGTTTTACGGGCTTCCCTGGTGGCGCAGTGGTTGAGAGTCCGCCTGCCGACACAGGGGACGCGGATTCGTGCCCCGGTCCGGGAGGATCCCACGTGCCGCGAAGCGGCTGGGTCGGTGAGCCGTGGCCGCTGAGCTTGCGCGTCCGGAGCCTGTGCTCCGCAACGGGACGGGAGAGGCCACAACAGTGAGAGGCCCGCGTACCACAAAAAAAAAAAAAAAAAAAAAAAAGAAAGAAAAACAGTTTTAGGAGTCATTTATCCTAATGCAATTTTGCCACCCCCAGAGGACATTTGGCAACGTCTGGAGACATTTTCAGCTGTCATGACTGGGGCAGGGGTGCCACTGGCATCTAGTGGGTTGAGGCCAGGGATGCTGCTAAACATCCTACGATGCACACGGCAGGCCCCCACCACAGAGAACCATCCAGCCCAAAATGCCAATATTGCTGAGGTTGAGAAGCCCTGGCCTAAAGCGCTAGACTCTCTTGATTCTGGGGGTTTTGCACGGCTAGCTGCTTCCTTCCCCCACTCCATTCTTCACCTGCTGAGACTTCACACTTCCAGGACTCCTCCAAGAAGACATTTCTGATACGGCAAGGCTGGGACAGAGCCCCTCCCCCGCTTGCTGGGTTAAAATTGTCCTGGCCCCCCCGGGGTTCTCAATCTTACGTTTTACAGTGCAAATCCCCTGGAACCCCTAGACAGCCCGATTCTGCAGAACGGCTAGGGACCAGGAATCAGTATTTTTAGCAAGCACCTCCTCCTTCCCGCCAACTGCCTGCCCCTTCATATTTTGCACATAGTAGGTGGCCCAGGGACTAGTTGAATGTCTACAGCATGCCAGGAGCTACTAAGTGCTCTACCCGGGGACTCGAATCCTGGCACACGCACGCGCGCGGACACACACACACACACACACACACTCCAGGATGTAGCCACTATCATCATCCCCATCTTACAGAGGAGTAAACTGAGGTTCAGAGAGGGGACGTGGCGAGGTAAGAGGCTCAAAGTGAGAAAGGGGTCCAGGTCCTAATTAGCGCCTGATTCCTGGGGGAGAGGAGGGGACAGAGCGATGGACTGGGGGAGCACGAGCTAGCGGGGGCCGGGAGACACACCGCGGCCTTCAGATGCGGCCCCGCCCCCACGAGGGACGTGAAGACGCGGACCCCGCGCAGCGTGGGGACATGTGACCGACTGCAGAGGCCGCGCCGCCTCCCCCGCCCGAGGTCTGCGCGCTCCGCCGCAGGGTGCAGATCGGGGGCGCCCGCCTGGGTTTGGGGCGCAAGAGCAGAGGTGGAGCCAGGGCGGAGCCAGCGCGCCCCGTCCCCCCTCTTTCCAATCGAAAGCGAAACGGAGGGCTGGAAAGGAAGGGCGGAGCCGGCCTGGAGGCCCCGCCCCCTGCCCTGAGAGGCAGCTGGACAGACGGGCGCGCCCAGGTAGGGGGGCGCTGAGCGCCCAGTGCGGACCCTCGCGGGGACCGGCGCCGCCACCATGTCTCAGGAAGGTGTGGAGGTAGGAGAAGGCTACAACTGGGCCGGGGACCCGCGAGAGATGCTGGGGAGGAGCCGGGGGACGCGGAGGGGGCTTCGCAGTTCCTGGGGACTCCATCCGAAACCTAGACCTTCCCCCAGGCTGGCACTCGTCCCCCTCAGAAAGGAGAGGGACCGCCACATGCCCCAGAGCGAAATGCGGCCTCCTCGAGGAAAAGCGGGGGCTGCTGGGTCAAGGGTCAGAGGCCAGGGGTTACCTGGCCGGCCTCCTCCCTTAGCCTGGGACGTTCGCCTTAGTCCGCTCCCTCCCCCAGTGCCCTGTGGGGACTTTGGCTTTTTCCAGGAAATGCAGTAGAGGGATTGGGGGGGTGGGGTGCGGAGGCTAAAACCAAGGGTCAAGTTCAGGCCGTGAAAAAAAGGATGCCTAGGTATGGGGGAGGGGCAATCGCGCCTCTCCTTCCTCCATCTGAGCCCCTGTCTCCCCACCCCAGCTGGAGAAGAGCGTCCGGCGCCTCCGGGAGAAGTTTCATGGGAAGGTATCCTCCAAGAAGGCGGGGACTCTGATGAGGAAGTTTGGCAGCGACCATACCGGAGTGGGGCGCTCCATCGTGTACGGTGAGCAGGCGGGGGTCCTGCCTGCAGGGGGTTCCGCTGGGGAGCGGGGAGGGGGTGTGGTCTCTGCTGAGGGTAGGAAGAGGCGATGAGATCATCTCTTTGGGGGGTGGTCTGTATCGGGTTCGGGCCCTGAAACTCCCACAAGGTCTTTCAAAGGCCTTTCACTTACACTTACTCTCCCCACCAGGGGTAAAGCAGAAAGATGGACAGGAACTGAGTAATGACCTGGATGCCCAGGTAAACTGCGCCCTCCCCTCAAAAGATGTGGTAAGGGGAGGGAGAACAGAAGGGTCAGGCTCATCCATGGTGAGCCCCCTCTGTGCCTTGACAGTCCACAACTCATGGTCTAGCCTCATTCACTTATGCACCTCTCAGTCGTGTATCTGGCCAGGGAGCCTGCAAACAGTAGATGCTCATTACATGCTGACTGTATTAAATGGAAGAGAGAGACAAGAAACTAAGCAGTGAAACGAATCAGGATTGTCATTATAGAGGAGCCAAAAAGATCAGGGAAAGCTTCCTGGAGGAGGAGGTACCAAGTTCTTCAAGACTAAGGAGGCGTGACCTCTGGGAAGGGGAGGGGTTGGAGAGGGTCTTCCTGGAAGAGGGGTGGCATGACAAAAGGAACGTACAGACAGGCTGGGATGAGCAGGAGATCAGAGAGGAGAGAGGGGCAGGGGAGCCCATGTGAATGAATGAATGAATGAATGAAAGGCTTTGCATGGCCACTTTGCCCCTTAGATGGCTTTGGTGGCTGGCGTACCGGTTGGCCTGCCTGAAAGACCCAGCACAGAGTTGTTAAAGAGTATAATAAAGTACGTATTATACCCTTAACATTTATATATTTACAGTTATACATATAATGAGTATGATAAAAATAGCAAAGAGTATCATTGATTGAGCACTTCCCCTGCGGCAGGACTCCAGGAATATTACCCGTTGACTTACTTCATTGCCACAGGTCCTGTGAGACAGGTCCTATTACTTATCACGTTCATTTTACAGATGAGAAAATTGAGACACAGGGTGATGACGTCACTCACCAGGTTCATGCTGAATGCAGGTGGCAGCTGGGATTTGAACCCAGGCCACCAAGAGTCAGAACCTGGGCTCTTAGATGTCCCTCATTAGGAGGAGTGGCTTGGCCACACCCCCACAGCTGGAAGTGATGAAGCCAGGGTTTCAACCTGCATCTCTCTGAATCCAGAGCTCAAGCACTTAACCTAAAGCAGCATGGCCTCAAAGAGGTGACCTCTCACAATGCCAGGAAGTGTGTGGCATTCATTGGCAGGAAGGGAGCATGGGGTCCAGCCTGTTCCACCATGCTCACTCAGGGTAATCTCAGGCAAGCCCTCTCCCGGCTCTGGGCCTCAGTATCCCCGTCTGAGCAATGGGGATGACAGGTGTGCCCACCTCCCAGGGTTGCTATAAGGACAACTGAGGTCACACATCCTGCCCTCAGGAAGTGTATGCTGCTCAATCAACTCCTCCTGAGTTAGGGACACTCTACTCTTATATGGGGCCAGAACCCTGCCTCCCCGTGCAGAAGCCCCGCCCCCAGAAAAGAGGCGTGAACCACATCTCCAGTTTCTGCCCCTGGTGTTTCCACCCAGGACCCCCCAGAGGACATGAAGCAGGACCGGGACATCCAGGTGAGTCCAGGATGTGGGACAGGGAGGTAAGCAGGGAGGACATCCATTGGGGTGTTCATAGGTGAGGAGGAGGGATATTGTAGGGGCAGGAAGGGAAGAAGAGGGCTGACCACCCTCTCCATTCTGCAGGCGGTGGCGACCTCGCTCCTGCCACTAACAGAAGCCAACCTACGCATGTTCCAACGTGCCCAGGAAGACCTCATCCCTGCCGTGGACCGGCAGTTCGCCTGCTCCTCCTGTGACCATGTCTGGTGGCGCCGCGTGCCCCAGCGGAAGGAGGTGATAACCCAACCTCTGACCTTGGTTCTGTCCCGGCTCCACTCCAAAGCCCCACTCTCAGTGTCCAAACCTCTGACCCAAGAACATCAGCCTCTGAGAGCCCAACCCCGGACCTGCAACCTCAGAGATCAACCCCAATCTCAGACCCTAACCCCAACCCACTGAGCTGGACTTTTCAACTTGACATTCAATTTGAGAAGCTCAACTCTTATCCCGGAGCCTGACTTCTGACTACACAGTTTGACAGCTACCACAGAAATCAAACCTGACCCCCAAACCACAACCCCAAATCTGGCTTCTGAACCCCCTGACCAGTGGTATGCTTCTGGTAAATGCCTAATAACCGGCTCTCGTGGGGCAGAGGCACCCCCAGATTTACAGTGTTTGCCAATTTCCATAGTGTAAATCTCGATCTGGCTAACATCAGGCTATCACTGCTCACCTCTGACAGCGAGCCTGCCCCTCTCTCCGCACCCCCAGGTGTCCAGATGCAGGAAATGCCGGAAGCGCTACGAGCCGGTGCCCAGTGATAAGATGTGGGGCGTGGCTGAGTTCCACTGCCCGAGATGTCGGCACAACTTCCGGTGAGGGCACAACTTCCGGTGAGGGCGCTGACCCCACCCCCACCTCCCATCCTCGGCCCTGCCCCACCCCAGCCCTGCCCCTCCCTGCCCTGGCCCCACCCTGGCCCAGCTGACCCTTGGACCCTCACGGCCCTGCCCGCCCCCAGGGGCTGGGCACAGATGGGGTCCCGGTCCCCCTGCTACGGGTGCGGCTTCCCCGTGGATCTGACACGGATCCTCCCTCCACGCTGGGACCGGGACACAGATCGCCGCAGCACCCACACCCACTCCTGCTCAGCTGAGGACTGCTACAATCGGCGAGGTGAGGGCCTGGCGCGTCCCCATGGCCTACCCCCCCATTCCGGGCATACATCTCTGAGCCTTTAAGAACCAAGGTCTCTGCCTGCTTCTTCCGCATACCTCCTAAGGCCTCAGTCCTGGGGGCCTTTTCATCTCCCACTGCAACGGCCCCTCCTTCCACATCTTCCACGGGCCTCCAGCCTCCTTACCTCCGGGTCACTCAGGACCCCTGCCCCTCCTAACACCCACCTCCCATGGCGTCATCCACCTTCCATGTCTCCTCACATAAAGTTCTGTGGTTTCACTCTGGTGGCCCACACCCCAGTGTCCTGTGGACTCTGCCCCTGTGGTCTCTGTGTTCTTGGCTCCTGTTGTGTCCTCTGTAGTCTCAGGTGATGCCCATGTCCCTGGGTCTCCTGTGGCTTCAACACCTGTGACTTTCACCTCTGAATTTCCTGTAGCTCTGGCCCCAGAGCCTGTAGCCTCAGCCCCTCCCCTCCCCAGAGCTCCCCGTGGCCTCAAGCCCCACGACCTCAGAACCTCTCCCTCCCCAGAGCCCCACGTGCCTGGGACGTCCTGCGCACACCCCAAGAGTCGGAAGCAGAACCACCTGCCCAAAGTCCTGCACCCCAGCAACCTCCACATCAGCAGTGGCTCCACTGTGGCCACCTGCCTGAGCCAGGGGGGCCTCCTGGAAGACCTGGACAACCTCATTCTGGAGGATCTGAAGGAGGAGGACGAGGGCGGGCACGGGGAGTGACCCCTGCCAGGTGCAGATGCAAACCAGACACGGTCTGTGCATATTTTGTGTTGTTATAAAATACGAGCTCAAACGGAGATCTAAATGCCCTTGGGGAGCTGTCTGGGTCCAAGATGCTGGCAGGGGGATTCCTGGGTCCTGTTTTCAGGGTCCTGGGGAGCAGATCCACAACGAGAAGAGGTCTGTGGGACGCGGCCCACACTGAGTCACAAAGGAGGTGTGGCCAGGACAACTTGGGCTCCTGCGGACACACATCCCCTGTGACCTGGGGGACAGATGAACAGATGGTCACAGCCTCAGGGGCCTGATCAGCATGGCAGCCTTCTTGAGAGAGTAAGCCCCACCACGAAACTCGGCCCAGTAAACGCCGTCCTGGTAACGGCTACGGTAGTGGCCACCACGATGCCACACACCATTGAGGTTGGAGTGGGCACAGGCATGGTACCACCAGCCTCCCCGCTGGTACAGGGCGCAGTTACCTGAGGGAAGAGAGAATCCATGTCTTCTCACCAGAATAAAAGCCTCCACCAGCACCTCATTAGTACAAGGCTTTTGCCAGGCATCCTCTGTCCCCATACCTTCTTCAGAGTAATAGCCTTAATTCCTTCCTTATCCCCTTACCAAAGTATAAGTCACATTTTCGCCATTCTTTCTGCAAACTAGGAGCTTTACCTCTCATTCCTTTATCAGGGAAAACAACCTTCTCTACTTCCTTTCTAGAATAAGAGTCCTAGCTCTCATACCTCCCCCTATTCCCCCCACCCCCCCCCCCACCACCTTTCACAAAGGCAGGAGTCCTGACTCTTACTGCCTCATCAGAGGATGAATCTGGACTCCGCACCCCCTCACCAGAATAAGAGTCCTGTCCTCCACTCTCCTGTTTATCCTGGTCCTTACCAGAGGAAAGTCTTACCCCACCCCCTTTCATTTCCTCACTAACAGTCTCCTACTCCCTCCCCACCACCACCACCAGAATGAGAGCTCTTTACCAGAATAGGAGTCTCGGTCCCTATCCACGGTGCTGAAAGGCTTGTCATTGTGCCAGGATAGAGAGTCTCCAGCATCTCCGTGGTAATGGCCAAGCCGTAGGCGGTAGTGGTCACTCTCAGGCTCCAGGGAAAAACCATCATAGTGGGCACGTGCCCCGCGGCCTCCCCAGTCCTCGAGGAGCACCAGTAGCTCATGGTCCCCATGGCTGGTCAGCTGATGCACAGGTTCAAGGCCCAGCCAGTACTCCCCATCAGGCTGCCCAAAGCCCACCTGGCAGGGCAGGAAAGTCAGGGAGTCAGCAGCAGGTCCCCTTCCCCTGCCCAGCCTTGCCCCACCCACCTGTGCTCACCTTGTAGTGCTGCCAGGTAGTAAAGAAGTTGACGGAGCCATCTTGCCGCCTCTGGATCACAGTCCAGCCTCCACCTTCCAGCTGTTGCTCACACCATGCTGACAACACATGCCGGCCCACTCGTAGCTCATACACTCCGCTCTGTCCATGGCCTGCCTGGCGGGCCTCTGCACAATCCCGCCATGGGCCTGCGGGCACAGGGATATGGGACAGGCACAACCTGGACCAGTCAACCCTTTACTGGAGTAAGAGTCCTGATTCTCACTGGTCCCCTTACCAGAACAGTCGAACTGCCTCTCCTATCCCCTCTCCAGAATAAGAGCCCCAATACCCCTTTTCTTACCTAAATAAGACTCTAAGTCATTCTTCTCTCACTAAAGCAAATGTGGAGCCTGGGATTCTTAAATTCTCCTTCTATGGTCTCCTCATCAGAATAGAGGTCTTGAACATGGCCCTCTGAATTCCCTCAAATTCTCACCAAAGTAGCAGTCCTGAATCCCCTGCCCTCTTGTCAAAGTAAGAGTACCTGTCTTATTTTCACACCATAGTAAGAATTTTGGTGTTTATCAAAGTAAGAGCCATATCTCCCTGTTCCATTATCAGGATAAAAGCATCATTTCCTCCAGGCCCCCCAGCATGAGAGGAATCTGGCATTAAAGTCCTGACTCTCATTTCCCTCTATTCATGCTGCACTGGGAATCTCCTGGCTCCTCACACCCCCAACAGCCCCGCCCTTGTCTTACCTGCTGGCTTGGTAGGGACAGCAGGGTGCCCTGAGGGTACAGGAGAGGCCAAGGGCCCCTGCTGTCTCAGGGTCTGGTCTCTCTGGGATTCTGGGGCTGAGTTCATCCTCCTGCTGGTGTCATTGGTGCCACCTACCAGACTGACTGGAACCACAGGCACCAGGGGCGGTGGCAGGACCTGGGGTAACCAAGAGAGTTAGATGTGACTGCACTAACCCTTATCCCAGGACGCTCTGGGCTCGTAAATCTCCTAGCACCCAGATGGGAAGATCAAGCAGGGGCGTGTATTGATCTTCCCAAGCCTAACTCTAGTAGTCAAGAAGAGACAGAGCTGGGCTTAAACTCCTGGTCTGGTGTTAATAGCTTAACCGATCTGTGCCTCCAAACTTTTCGGTGAAGTAGGGATAATATGAGTATATCCAATATTATTAACTTACTGAATCCTCCCAACAACCCTGTAAGTTAGGTACTGTCACAAAGCAACAATTGCTTATTCAAAACCTAAGGTGAGACATAGTCCAGAATTTAGAATAATATAGCAGGAGTTAGAAACAGTAATGCAGGGTCTACCTTTATATTACCTAACACCCCCAACGAGGTCTTTGGTCTTTATCACATATTAATAATATGCTTGATTATAGGATCCTATGGGTATTCATATTAGGTAGATAAGTAAAGACTTCAAGTAGCTACCAGTTGCGTTTTGACCCAAATGAGTTACTGGGGAAGAGGTAGGGGTCCGTTTTTGGAGCTTTTTGTATTTCGGAACTAAGAATCATGGGGTTGGGACTTCCCTGGCGGTCCAGTGGTTAAGATTCGGTGCTTCCACTGCAGGGGGCACGGGTTCGATCCCTGGTCGGGGAACGAAGATCCCGCATGCCCCGCAGTGCGGCCAAAAAAAAAAAAAAAGGGGGCCCATCTACTGAAGATGCTCACAAGAAGTGGCTGCTATTTGGGGAGGGAGATAGTTTCAGAGTTACCTGCTGCTGCCCGCCCGCACTCCCCGGGCACAGGCGTTCCAGGCGGGAGATGAGGCCACTCTGCTGGCTGACCAGCTGTGCCAGCTCGCGGAACTTGACGTCCAGCTGGTGGAAGCGGGCGGCGGCGCGCTGCGCCTCGGCCGAGGCGTTCAGCACACGCTCCCCAAGCAGCGCCAGCGCGGCGGCAGGCTCCGCCCCCAGGCCTAGCCCCGCCCCCGGGCCCGCCTCGTGCTGCAGCTGCGCGCGCAGCTGGCCCAGGCGCGCACTCAGGCCACGGCTCTCCTTGCGCAGCGCGCGCACCTCGCCGGCTACAGCGCCGTCGGCCGTCGCCAGCCGCTGAAGTTCGCGCAGCAGCTCCTCGTGGCGGCCCACTCGCATGCGCAGTGCCGCCACGTCGCTGGCGTTCACGGCCTCCGGAGTTGGGCGCGGAGCCGCCGGCCCGCTCCAGCACACGGCGCCTGTGAACTTCTGCGGGGGCAGCACGAAGGTGTAGGTGCAGCGCGGGGCGGCTGCGCGCGCCCACCAAGCGTCCAGCAAGAGCAGCAGCTGCATCGTGAGCAGCCGGGGTGCCGACATGGCGGACCTGCAGGCAGAGGGTGAACGGGAAGGAGGGGGCCCCGGAACCCAGGCTCGACCCCCGACTCTCAAGCTGGGCCATACCTATGTGGTCCCACGCGGGAATGCACAGGTGTACACCTGCGTAGATCAGGGTCCACACACGCCCGCCTCCATCCCTTTCCCTGTCCCGAGGCTGGAGATACGCCAATAGAATCCAGCTCTGGCCTCCCCACTGAGTTCCAGGCGCCCTGCGGGTCAGTGTGTCTCGTCCATTCATTCAGCAAGCATTCTCTGAGTGCTAACTGTGTGCTGGCCTCAGTTCTATGCGCTGGGAATACAGTTGGGAACAAAACACAAAAATCCCTGCCCTGGTGAGCAAGGACCAAATAAACTTAGAATTAATTGAGTGTATTAGACAGCCCTAGGTACTAAAGATAAAAGGTACTTTTAGTAAAAGAGGGGAATTCCCTGGGTGTCCAGTGGTTAAGACTCCCGGCTTCCATTGCAAAGGGCCGGGGTTCGATCCCTAGTCTGGGAACTAAGATCCCGCAACCTGCACGGCGCGGCCAAAGAAACAAACAACTACAAAAAAAAAAAAACAAACAACAACCAGTAAAAGACAGAGATGTAGGGATATGTGCAGGGGCAATTTGAGAGGAGGGAAGACCTGGAAGAGGTGACAGTTTTGAACAAAGACCTGAAAGAGGTGAGGGAGGAAACCATGGGGGTATCTGGGAGAAAAGAGGTCCCTGGCAGGGGGAATAGAAAGTGCAAAGGCCCTGAGGTTGGACCATGCCTGATGTATTAAAGGAACCTGGAGGAGACTGGAGCAGAAGCCATGGGGAAACAGGTGGCGGGGGGGGGGGGGGGGGGGGGGGGGGGGGGGGGGGGGTGAGGGGAGATGAGGAGGAAGTCTCACTAACTCAGTCTAGTAGCGGACACCCTATTTCCCATGTCCTCAGACCAAAACTCCAGAGTCATTCATGTCTCTTCATGGCAGATGGAACCCATCAGCCAGGCCTATCAGCTCTTGTGTTTAGACCCTGAATTCCTCCACATTCCCCCCCATTCTCACTCCCTCCCATGATCCCAGCTCAATACACCATCTGGATTTCCTTAGAGCAGCTGCCTGCCAGGTCTCCAGGCTTCCGTCCTCAACCTCTGCTCTGTTTCTCCCACAGTGGCCAGAGGATACCCGTGAACACCCAAGTCAGGTCACGTCCCTCCTCCTCTGCTCAGGACCTCTGTGGCTTCCTCCTCACTCCGAGGAAAAGCCCAAGTCCTCCCTGCAGCCCACAAGGCCCTGCATGCTCTGCCCAGGCCCCTCCCTGCCCTCCCCTCCTCCCATTCACCCTCCCACCCACCGCGCTCACTCTGCTTCAGGCACCCTGGCCTGGCTGTTCCTCAAACACACAAGGGACCCTCCAGCCTCAGAGCCTTTGCACTTGCTGTTTCCG